GCCTCTTTAAAGCCTAGTCTTTCCATGATTTTAACCTTTGTATATTACATTATTACATTAGTGATTTTGGCATAGACTGCTTCTGATGCATGAAATCTATGTATTTACGGAATTTGAAGAAGTAGTGTAATTGGAGTCCCACAGCTCCCAGGCATTTTAGAATGTAGCAGAATAGCAGGAATACATAAGCTTTGGAGGCAGGGATCAAGTCACATGTAGGTGACATTGTGGCTATGTTGCTTAACCTCAGTTTAACCTCCTTATAGACAGTGAAACCTGCTTTATAAAGCAGCTGCTGTGTTGTGCTCCGTCGCTCAGTCGTGTCCGACTCTTTGTGACCCTGTGGACTGTAGCCCGCCAGGCTCCTCTGTCCCTGGGAATTCTCCAGGCAAGGATACTGGAGTGGGTTGCCATGCCCTTCTCCAGATCTTCCCAACCCAGGGATCGAATCCAGGTCTCCCACACTGCAGGCAGATTCTTTACCATCTGAGCCACCAGGGAAGCCCAAGAATACTGGAGTGGGGAGCCTATTCCTTCTCCAGGGGATCGATCTTCCCTACCTGGGAATTGAACTGGGGTCTCCTGCATTGCAGGTGGATTCTTTTACCAGCTGAGCTGCCAGGGAAGCACTTATAAAGCGGCTGTGAGGATTAAAATAACAAAATAAACTGCTTTTAAGAGGTGGTAGCTATTAAGATGGCATTTAAGATGTCTCTGTAATCTTCTGTGTATGAAATACAAAGAAAACAAGTAGCACTGGTAACAACACATTTATTTACGTACCCTGTTGTGTGACCGGGAGGTGTTTTTCACTTTCCAGTAATTAAATTAGGTTATAACAATTAAAATTCCAGAAGATAAACTATTGTAATTTATTGTTGCTCATGACCATAAGTAAACAGACATGGCACGACATAAAGGAATTTTAAACGCGTCTAACTTTAGGTATAGTTTTGAATACGGACCAGTATCTACTTTGGCAATGGACCTAATAGATTACCAATATGCTTCTAAATCTCATGGTTCTCTTCAAACACAACAGGAAAAATTTCAATTTTTGACGTTTGAATTTCAGAAATTTAACAAAGATTCTTAGGAAGCTGGAAAAGGCCATTACTTAAGCCTATCATATTTATCACAAATATAAATATATTGCCATTAAAAATAAACTCATGGTAGGCAGCAGTCAACTAATTGCTAATTTCATTTTGTAGATTATATAGTATTTCTTGAAAATAACTAATCTCAAGATGGCAGGCTACAGAGCTTTTTGAAGTAGTTCTTACTTATTAACCTTTTGAGGACTAGTGAAAGAAATTCAGATCCCAAGCCAAATCACTGAATGTATTGGATTTTACATTAGGAACAGCCATTTTCAAGAGATTGCATCATACAAGGCAGAATGCCTTTATTCCTGGCTTCATATCTTACTTACAATGTATGATTATTTTAAAGAAGGTTTGGTGTTAACAAATGGGTACTCATTGCTAGAGTGGTATATTAAGAATGTGCTGATCACCAAGTATGAGATTTTAAATTAAATTATATACTGCTGGAAATAAGATAGGGAGTTCCTAGATCCTAGAAAATATTATGGCTAAGGAAATAGAGAACTCAAAAGAGGAATTTACCTCCAAGAAACTACTTCGGCATAGTAAAATAGAATTAAGTGCCCTGTCTTAGGAAACAGTTATTAATAAGGAACAACTGGGACATCACACATCGTTTCTTTGGAGATTAAAGTGCAGGCTATGAAATGGCATATAAAATAATGCATAAAATAGTGCAATCTTAAGGTGCCATTATTTTTATTACACATAGCCTATGTTCATATGTCCATTTTCTCTCAAAAATCCAGCTGTAGTGACACCTTTCAGCTTATTTATTTAAGCATTACTTATACTCTGTCTTACCCACCTTAGGGGCTACATAGAATATTTTAACAAGTAGAATAATAGCACATATATCTTGAAACTACTAAATAGAGATTAAGGCAAGCCCCTGTAAAGTTCAGTACTCCAAAAACATGTTTTACAAAAAAAAAAAAATGTTGCTTCCAAAACCAGTGGTTTTAGACCTGATGGCACCCCAAGTTTTTAAAACAGTATGATTACTCTGATTACATTTGTGTTTGCCCTTATTTCCAGGCTCTGTACATCAAAAGAGGAGCTTAAGAAACAACAGGTTCTATATCCTCATGTTCTAAAATAATACCTAGTTCAGAATAGGTGAAAACCAAGTCCACGTGGGAAACAAGCAGAGACTCCTGTGGGGGGTGAGCGGGCGGGCGGCCGTCCTTTCCGTTTTTCATCCGCCCTTCCACATTTTATCTATGTCTGTAGTGTTGCAATCAATTTGTAAGTGGGACAACTTTAAGTATCCTCTGAAAGACCAGCCAAGGAAGATGATGGGAATACTTTATGAAATGTCCTAATATTTAACATATTAACATAGTATTAACATACAGCATTTAAATTACTGACCTACAATCCAGAGTAAGAGAGTTCTCTCTCGAGTTGCTAACTTACAATTTTCCTGTAACGTATGTCAGTTTTAGGTGATGGAAATATTTTGTGATGTGTTGACACTTAAATACCATTATACTACCCAAATGCACATATAACAGCTATCAAACTGGCCAAGGCAATATCCTAACACATTTTAGCTAGTTAAGATTTAAGATTTAAAACAACTGTAGTGCTTTATTTCCTACTGTTATGCCACATTCACCCATTAACAAGTGCAACTCATAAAATTTATGGGCAGATGATTACAAGTGTATATTGTAGAAATCTGGATTTTGAAACAGAAAATCTATCTTTTAATAGTGTGAATGTTTATTATGAAAGCCAAATATTCATGTTAACTAAGACTGTAGATACATTTAGGGTATCTAGATGGAGTTTAAAAAGAAACCTAGGAAACTTTAAATAATTCATTAACATTATTAAAAAAGATCATCTGAGGTTATATCCCTTTGATGCATAAAGATCATACTTTATAAACCTGTAAACATGTACTTTGTTAATTAAAAACATCTTCGTATTAGCAGGAAAGCAGACTATTAAAGGCCATGAGTAAGTATTCCAATAGGCCTCCTCCAAAGTTGTGATAATATGGCTAAATCCTATGACTAAAGAAATGAGAACTGCTGAGAAAATGAGTTCCAGACAGGGACTTTTATGGATGATCTTGGCTGACAAATGTTTTTTGGAAATTGTTTATTTTAAAATTACCTTCCCAACAAACCATGAAAACACTTGGACGTTATTTTATGGTTTTTCATTGAAAACATAACTACATTGTAAATGGAGTTTTAATGTTAGACAAAGAATTGATCAAAATCTAAGGACACTATTATGTAAGGACAATATTAAAAATGGATAAGAAGTTTCACTTGGTGAGGTTAATCTCAAGGATGCATAACCATATCATGTTGGACGGATTAAAAGAAGGTAGTGACCTTGTGCTTTTCTTCAACTAAGGTACTTACCAAAACCTTAGGTTTTATACAGGTGTCAAACTCCCGCCTGGAAAGGGATAGTATTCTATATTACACCTAAGTCTACCTTAAATAACTGAAGCCCAAGGCAACAATTGTTTAACTTAACAGTCAAATAATGACTACATAATTTAGTACATTAAAATAGAACTAGACAGTAATAGTTGACTGTTTCAAAAATACAGAACTGGGGAAAATAATCACTGTACAGTTGTTAAAGTGACCACTTAGAAGGTTGACAGTGCAAGACATGCTTTTCCAGTTACAAGCTCAAAACAGGAGTGCAAATGAAATTAAAGCTTTTGTTGAAAGTTGAAGGATAAGGAAAGCCTGAAATTAATATTAAAAAGCTTCCCTCAGGTCACCCCTCCAGAAAGGAAACAATCAAAATGCTTTTTCATAGTAAAATTTTCTTCAATGAACTGTTTTTCAATGGCAAAACAACTGCATCCCATAAGTTGGGTTCCCTACTCACACCACTGGTCATGGCCACATTGGATCAATGCGCATACACAGTGGTGAGTAAGGAATAGTACTAGTTACCAGAGGTCTGATATCAACATAAAGAATTTGGGGTTCTGTCTTAGCCAGTGTACCTGAACCCTACAGAGAATAGCTAAAGCAGCGGGCTTTATTACTCTCTTATTCTGTAAAACTGGAGGACAAATGGACATACAAATACCACTCCCCCTCACCCACCAAAGCAAGCTGTTGTGGTGGAAGATGTTAAGTGCTTAAATGAACTAAGACACTGCTCTAAAAAGTGGAGAAGTACAGAGGTTCAAGATCAATACCAGTGCAAGAGCTTTTTTAAGTGAGTTGACTAGGCAATGCATGCATGCATCCATGCAGATGTAGGTCATGGCCCCAAAACAGAACTGAAAACATGTATATAACAGCTGGATAAGTCCCTTGCCAGTAGTTTATAAAAATATATAGTCAACACTGTAGAGGCCCCTCTACAGTCGATACTATGGAAGTCCATTTTAGTTACCCATTACTTCAATACCAAAAAGCATTTACTACTTTCAGACATTCCAGACAAAGGTCACTTATAACAAAAAGTCAACTTTTTTTTTAAAAACAAGATACTGTCCATTTAAAAAGTAGGTCTTTTCTTTCAAGTGAACAGGACATTTTCTGTATTAAACTTAGTTTCTAGTCTGTCAAGACTGGTTTAAGATCCTTATGTAATGTGCATATATGCAGAAACAAATTTGCTTTAAACATTATCTGCACAAAAAAAAGGTTAACTTCTCAAAACATGATAGAATAGGTCTGGTTAGTATAAATCTATTGCAAAGTAAAAAGATTCTGTGCATCAGTTCAACGAGGAGAAGCAGGAAAAAAAAAAAAGTCCCAACTATGAGAGTTCAAGTTTAAGTTGTGTTCTGAAAGCCTAGAGCTGACGGACACCATGTCGCACAGTGTCCAGATACGCAGAACTGGTCAAGCTACAAAGCCAGGTCTTCCTCTGACGCTAGAAGCACATTCTGATTTACTTTCTATTCCGGAGACGTTTAGATTTCCTAAGAGAGTCTATGGCTTCTGCGGCCTTTTTCCGTTTCCGAGGAGACTCTTCGCTTTGCCCAGACCCTGAGGAGTTACCCACTGCGCTTTCCATTACTTCTCGCAGTTTGCGCTCCAGCTCTGCCAACCGTGCGTTCTGTTCACCTATGATCTGGGTCTGCTCTAGAAGTTTCTGGTCCTGGTCTTGAAGTTGTTTCTGCTGTTCTTGCACTTTGGTGCGAAGCTCAGAAATTTCACGCCTGAGAACAGTCACCCCAGCACCATTTGTCTTAACCTGCTGCTGGAGTTTGGTAACCTCCTGTCTTGAAGGGTTTTGCTTGGAGAAGAGCTGCATTGTAGTCAAGGCTGCAGAAGGTCCTGGAACTGTGGAGAAATGGTTTAAAATGGTCAGTCACTTCAGTGGCTCACCACCAGTAATACTCCATTAATGAGATTTCTTCAAACATAGCATGTCCTTAGTAACATCACCTCTGCAGATTTCTTCTTTGCAACCTACCTGGTCTAATGAATTAATCAAATACTTTGTCTTAACTATAAATGAGTCTGAATTCTGATTCTCATGTTCATGTGGCAATATGTGGATTGCCAGTAAAAGCAGAGTGTCCAGGGGTGTTAACTTGGATTTTAAAGTATTATAAAGCTTTTTTAGAACCTAGTTAAGAAAATATAAATGTAAAATTAGAGTAGAATTACTTTCTTTCTTATTACACACAAGGAACATAAATATGAGTCAGAAGCACAGACCTATTAGGTTTATAAGTCCTCTCTGCACTTAGTTGAATATTTGGTCTCAACATTAGCCAAACAATTGGGATACCACCACAAAGGGTTACATCACACTCAATGATCAGGAAGAACTTCTGACAAGATTTAGGAAGGCTTTGGAACTATTCTGTTTCAGGAATAACAATGTACCATGGGCATAAAAATCACTATATAACCTGCTTTTTTTTTAACCTTATCTCTGAAGCTTTTCTAAAAGAATCATATGGATCCATCTGCACCCTAAAACCCATCTTGTTAGTTTTCTCCTCACACATTTAAATAACCAGAATATTTTCCTTGATTGATACGTTGTTCTTTCTCAGCTTACCTTTAGCCAACTAACAAGGCTCAGACCAGTTCTCACCTCTTGTGAAGTCTCAATCAGACCAGCCAACAATGATCTTATCTTCCTTAAGATTTTCTCTCTACTCATTTGGCATGTAAATGGACACTCCTTTAAACTATTCTCTTGCCTGCAATAATTTGAGTCATGATTACATCTTACCCTATGAAATAATAAGATTCTTGAGAGCAGATACCATGTATTACATTTCTTTTTAGTCTTCATAGGACACAGTGTAGTGCTGTCTGCATAGTAAGTACTCAATAAGTAATAGATATATTAATGCTGAGATGCCATAAGCTTTATTATTAATTTACAGACAGCCACTCACTCTACTGAGTACTCCACGGAGCTAACTAATCTGAACAAAACAAATGTTTTACTAAAAATTATTCTAACAAATTTATGTCCAGTTAAAAATTGTGGATATGTACAAAGATTCAGCCACAAGATTGTTCTTCAGTGTGGTTCAAATACTGAAAAACCTGGAGACAAATGTGCATAACAGCAGTGGATGAACTACGTAAGATATGATCTGTAATCTAATCTGTCATTAAAAATGATGCTACAGATACACAGTTACAGACCCAAACAAGTTCAAGATACACAGTTAAGTGGGAGAAAAAAAGGCAAGTTACAAACCTATGTATGAACATGATTATAAACTGAAAGTATTATAAACAAAAGATACCTGGAGGAGAGCCCATGAGTCTTCCAGATACATCTGATCCTGGTAATTTCCTCTTTAGAATTGGAACAATCTTTTCATCAAAGTACTCCATTGCCATGGAGGAAATATCCCTTAACTCTTGAAGTACTTCATGAGCTCGCTGAGGGGCTCTGGTAGAATTGACATATCTCAACACACGATAAATCTCATCAATCACCTAAAATAATGAGCTCTCATTAGCACTTTATTTTTTTTAAAGAAAATAGGTAGAGAGTAAGGTGACTACTTGTTTTGCAAATTCTACAGAGATCTACAGGGTGACTTAACTGATATACTGACCACTGCTAACATTACCACCTGTAACAACTGGCTTTGGGCTTGTTATAATACTATATATGTTTCATATTTATATTTATTAAGCATACTTACTGTTCTGGGGCTAAAAAATTACCTAATATTTATATATAATGATATATATATATGTCATATATATATATATATGATATGTAAGAAAATGGTGAATTACAAAATATACACTTATATACTTTTGTAGTAGTCCTTCATATTACTAGTTTGTCACGTTCTACTACAAAGAATCTACTGGTGACAGGATGTTAACCGATCCATAGTGTGCTACACGTGTGTTATAACATGAGAAGCATTGCAACACTCCAGTGTTATGTGACGTCGTCCTCAGTGCTAGTACAGCCCACCTACAGGTACGAAGTGGCCCTCGGCTATCTGACCTAAAGCAGACCCTCTCTCTCTTTGCTGCTCAGGGTTTTGCACATTATGATCTCCTTTCTGTCATGTTCTCCCTGCATTATCTCCCCTGCCTTCTCCAGGCCCAAGTTTCTTATTCACACCTGAGGTCTCAGTAACACTTTCTCAGAGTAAGCAGTCTTTTCTGAACCTTCTTTCAGTTTAAGTATGTTAACATCTTCATCAAATCCTTTATTTTTTCTTCAGAATACACATTACAAGGTTTAAGTACTACCTTTTTCTGTTAATTTCTTCTTCTCATAACATAGTAAGCTCAATGAGAGAAGAGACCATACCTAGTTTCCACTGTCAGATCCCCACAGCCTAGCAGTATCTGGCACATAGCAGACACCCTAATCAACATTCATTAAATGAGTGATAAAGATGGTCATAACTGTCTAATATTGACACATCTAAATAAAACTGTTCAGGGACAAGACACAAGGTTAAAGTCAATACAAGAATATGATTTTTAGAGGCTAGATTTTGTTTTGAATACAAAGGTCATTGTTAAGAGAATTTTACTGAGAGGACAAATGGACCTAGTTAATTATGTACATAAATACTGGTAGACAGAAGAATATTTACAGTATGTTTGACTTAGACTAGATATGACTGTTACAATGACTCAAGCATGAATAGGACATACATCTTAACCTATGCAAGATGACTTAGTGAAAGACCCATACACAGCAAAGACTAGTTCAAACTCCTAAGTTCAATGTACAAACATAGCATTGTGTGAAAAAGGAAGTAGACAGGGATAAGATTTGTTTGAGGATGGAGTAGGCCTAATGAAGGACTTGGCAATGAGAACTAAGCAGAATTTCAATGAGAAGAGAAGTTTGAGCAGGAGGAGGGTGTACATGACTAAAGGAGGAATGCTGCAGTGAGAAGTTGGCTAGGAAATAAAAATGTATGTAGTGTTATTACGCACCATGGACTTCCCTGGTAGCTCAGTTGGTAAAGAATTTGCCTGAAATGCGGGAGACCGGGGTTCGATCCCTGGGTTGGGAAGATTTCCTGGAGAAGGAAATGACAAACCACTCCAGTATTCTTACCTGGAGAATCCCATGGACAGAGGAGCCTGGTGGGCTATAATCCATGGGGTCGCAAAGAGTCAGACACGACTGAGCAACTAACACTTTATTATGTACCATACATTTATTCTAGGTTTTTAAAATAAATTATGTAGTGAATCCTCTTCCATAACCCTGATTCTTCAGAATTAATTTCATATCAAAATACTGCATAGGGATTACTAATGCTAAATGACATCTGTAAACCAAAGTGTGAAATATTCTTATCTACTGTATTCAGTCTTCTAAATGCAGTGTGAAAGCACGGTGTATCTCTTTCCCTTTGCCTAAGTGTTCTATTAGGTAATTTAGTGTTTTTAAATCTTACTACATAGAGGTTACTTTAATTAAATGGACTCATCCAATCCATGTTATCAATAAAATTAAAAACATTTTCTTTCCTGTGTCCAAAAGTTACAAGCCAAGGACAAGGTGAAGAAAGACAGCATGTTAGAACCAGACTGCTTCGAGCATTCAGTCATCAGTGGCTAAAATGGTTGTAGAGGTACATGTTAAGAAAGCACAGTGTTTACCTGATTTTTAAAATATTTCATTTTCTGAATAGGTTTAATCACTTTCTGAAAATTACTTCAGCAACAAGAATGTAATGGTTTGAGTCTTGTATCCAGTGTGAAGGCCACAGGTCTTAGGCAGGTCACTGAAACTCTTTAATGGCTATTTACACACTTTTCAAGTAATATGCCTCTGCAGAATACTAGAGATAATTAATACTTGTGAAAAATATTTTTAAGTTTAAGAAAGAATGGTAAGAAACCAAATGTGAACAACCATCACATTCCCAGTACATACAGTTTACTCTATCATGCTTAGGTTTAAATTGGCACAGTAATAAATGACATACTATGAACATCATTTAAGGTTTTCAACTATTATAGATGAGAGAATTTCTCTTATTTAAATTAATAAACAGTAAATTACTGTTTAGCAAACAAAGTAGTGCAAGTGAGTGAAAGTTGCTTAGTTGTGTCTGACTCTTGACCCCATGGACTATAAAGTCCATGGAATTCTCTAGGCCAGAATACTGGAGTGAGTAGCTGTTCCCTTTTCCATGGGCTCTTCCCCTCCCAGGGATTGAACCCAGGTCTCCTGCATTGCAGGAGGATTCTTTACCAGCTGAGCCACAAGGGAAGCCCAAGAATACTGGAGTGGGTAGCCTATCCCTTCTCCAGTGGGTCTTCCCGACACAGGAATCAAACCGGGGTCTCCTGCATTGCAGGCAGATTCTTTACCAGCTGAGCTACCAGAGATGCCCTTAGCAAACAAAGCTCCCATTAGAATAGTGAACCTTGTATGTTCTCATTTTCTGTTTCTTTTTGTTCCACTTGCTGATGTGCTCAGTCATGGCCGACTCTTTGTGACCCCATGAACTGTAGCCCACCAGGTTCTTCTGTCCGTGAAATTTTCCAGGCAAGAATACTGGAGTAGGTTGCCATTTCCTTCTCTTTGCTCCACTTGAGATTGCCTTAATTTTCCTCTCACCTCTTTTATTTTTTCTCCCATATTTGTGAATAATTTTTTATATGGCATGTGTTTGTCTGTATTTTTCTTATTAATATTTCTCTTAGACTATTAGTCATAGTTCGTTCAAGTTTTATATCCTTGTACTGCTTTCTCAAAGGTCTTCTGTTCTCCACTTGTTTTACTTTGTGTTTCTTATTAGCCTGGTGATTCTTTACTCCTTGCTTACATTTAAAAATGCAGCACATAAAAAGCTGATCAGATTTCCTAGTTAGCCAAACTAGGTGGGAAAGGTAGAGTTTAGGGGTGTAAGAACAGGGACCTAAAAAATTCAATGAAAATAGATTAATTCTTTCTTCATTTTAAAGGTTCAATGACTGCATGTATTTACTTGAGGACCAGCAAAATGAAAGGAGGAAATGTTTCTAAGCAAGAGTTATTTTTAAGAATGTCTTCACACTAAAACCAATTTTAAAAGAAACAAAAATACAACATTCTGGAAACATTAGATAAACTCAAATTGAAGGATATTTATTCCTCAAAGTAACTGATCTATATGACCTTCAAAAATTTGAAGCCCAAGAAACACAAGGTGTAGGGAATTATTATACATTAAAGAGGACTAACAAATTCATGTGTGATCCTAGATTGGATTCTGGACTCAGAAATAAGAATAGCTAGGAAAACTATTATTGGAATAAGAAATGAAACTTGAATATGGACTGCTGTTCAGTGTATTGGATCAATTTTAAATTCCCTGAGCTTGTTATCTGTACTGTGGTTAAGTAGGAAAATGTCCTAGTTCTTAGGGAATACACTGAAATATTTCAGAATATACGGTCACAGTATCTCCAACTTTTCTTCAAACGGTTCCGAAAAATAAAACATATGCAGAGAGAGAACAAAAGCAAATGAGACAAAAGGTAAATAATTGATGATCTGGATAAAAGAAACACAGGAATTCCTTGTCATATTTTTTGTAATTTTTGTGTAAATGTGAAATTGCATCAAAAGAAAGTTACCCCTCAAAAAAAGAATAAAGTGACCATCACCAGTTCCGCCCCCCCCCCCCCCACCAAAACATTATTAAAAACAAACCACCAATACAAAATCTACAGATTTTAAGTTCTTTCAGGGAACTCTAGCTTCATGACAATTATACCGTGAAAGCTTTGACTTTTGGAGACCACTGTTTTTCAATAAGCACAAAAGGGTTACTAGGGCTGTTAGTAACAATGAAGAAAAGAAATTATTCATGTCTTTTTTCATTATTATATCTCCTGGAATGGTTAGTTGGCCGCTGCTCCATGTGTTTTTCAGTTTGTGTGAACTGCTGATATTGATCAAGAATTTACTATAAAAAGTTTGACTTCTGTATGTCAGATAGAAGATTTGAGAACTATATATAGGAATAAGCCAAGAATCTATACTTGATTCTGAGACAAGATGAATGAAACATCAATATAGTGATCAGAGTCTGCAACTATGGCCCTAACTGACCTGTGCCTATTTCTGTAAATAAGGTTTTTATTAGAACATGAGCACACCCATTCATTTACCACATGTAGAATCATGGCTGTTTCTCAGTTGAGAAACAGACCATGACATGACACAGACCATGTGGTCCACAAAGTCAAAAATATTTATTACCCGGCCCTTTACAGAAAAGTTTGCTGATCCTTCCCAGAGCTCTAGTGGCAAACTCGCAACCAGTCTGAATTCTTTAGACAGATCTTTAAATGCCTTTGTTGTTTGTATGGCTTCCTTGTCAAGAGGCTCCATTTTAAACCCCTCCCTTGAATATGCCTTAGATTTTCACTGGGTAGAAGGGCGATGATCTAGTTTGTTTGGAGTTGGAGAGGGGACCTACAGATTTAAGTGATTCCTAAATATAGATTCTCAACCAACCTCTCTGTTTTAGCCCCATTTTCAGAAGTGTTTTCAACTCTAGAATTTTTTAGAGGTTCAGCTGTGCATACTACATTGACTTCCAGCTTCCCTCACTGCCAGGTTAGGAATTAACTTCCTCAGTTCTTCTAAGTCAGTTATCATTTGTTCATCTACTTTCCAACTTCCAAAATTCTGCTGCTACTGTCTACTCTGTTGACCTCCTTTTCATGGGGCTTTATCTTTTCTTCCTTTTAAAAATTATATCATTTACTCTACTCCACTGAGTCGAGTATGGGGAGAAGTTAAGATATAAACATATATTTAATCTTCTATCTTCATCCTACCATTTAATTTTACAAACGAATTTGATTGTTCTTTCAGAGAATTAAAAAAAATTTCTTCCCCCAACTGTTAGTTTAAAGGTCCAAAATTCTGCTATATATCAGGCAATCTAATTTAAATTCATTGCTATTACCCAGACTCACTTAAATAACTTGTAAAAACTAATTTGTGAAATGAACCCAGGGGCAAGATGCTGGGGAAACCAAGAATAAACTACTATAGAAATCATATACCAAATCAAGATTATATGCTAAACTGAAAGAAAAGTATTTCATAGAATATCTTCACTTAAGGATGTGAAACTTAATGCCATATCCTTATGTCCTGAAGATAGAATATGAACGTTTAAGGATGAGAAAGTTCAAAAAAGAACAATGATAAAACAACCCAAACATTGCAAACTATGTTAAGTTAGCAGTTTAGACTTAGCTTAATTAAGCTAAAAAGTACCAGCTACATAAAAATACAAAGTAGTAATCTAAGTATACAGTGTTGATTTAAGCAAAATATAAGCTATAAAGATGGCAGAATAAACCAAAGTGATAATCAAAACAAAATTTATTTGTTTTTTGGGAGTTGTTTTTCCAGTTCAGACTTGTCGGAGAAAAATAAATTAGGATAAGATCTTGTGAAGAAATGGGTAATATTAAGGAAAAATGAAAGACTTTTCCACTGCAGGTAGGGTAAAGGTCTCAGTTAAGGAGCAAATGCCCAAGGGGAAACACATAAGCTTCAAAACTGAAAACATCCTCCACTGCTACCACCTCAGTTGGTACTAGAATTAAAAGAGAAAACAAGTGGTTTCCAAAAAAAATGGCAAGACTCAACTGAATTTAACCTCATTTGTTTAGACAGGAAATATCATCATTTCAATCACATGATCTTGATCAACTAGAACAACAGATAGACAACTTCTGTAAAGGTTAGGTACTAAAATACCTTTGGCTTTGCAGGGCATATGGACTTTGCCACAAGCTCTTCAGCTCTCATTAACAATAACTGGTTGAATTGTCTCTTGAGGTTATGAAACTTAGAGAGGTGTCTTAAATATTCATAATCTTAACATTATGAGATATGCAATAGAAACTATGAGGCTATAGGAGACAACCTATTCTAGATCAGTGAACATCAAGAATTAAGACCTATGAATTAGACCTGGATAAAATCTGGCCTAATAATTAGAATCTAAAGTTTCTAACTGGTCACCTTTTTATAGAAAAACATCAGTAACTAATACGAGGAAAGTGAGCTATACCAAAGAATACTTTAAATAAGAAACAGGACTCCTCTGGCTCCCAACAAATATTACAGTATATTGAAAATGAAGAAAGTAATACAATATTGCCAATGTTAATTATCAGTGGAAATAACAAAAAGAAAGCATTCAAATTTTACTAAGTATTAATTAGTTCCAACCATGTTAAGGGAACCTTTTGCCAGTAGCAGCTAAGTAGCAAAATGATCTTTAATTCTACCTCCATCTCTTTCACATAAAAAGATACTGAAGTTATTTCATTCTGAATTTACACTCAATTCAAGAAACAAGGTATTAGTGAAGATATGAGCAGCATGTTGAACTCTGGGTCCTTGATTCACTTAGTCACAGTAAATACACCACAATAAACTTATTTCTGTGTTAAATAGCACTATTACTTAGCCCAGAGTATAGTGCTATACAGTAATTATCTATTCTCGTCGAATCTGGAAGTTTGTAAGTTGTTTTCATGAAACATTTCTCAAACAAAACAAAACCAGCTTGTCTCTCCCAACCCCCCTCCCTAAAATGTAACAATCTTGAAGGTAGAGACAATACCTATTCTTGCTCACTGCTGTATCTCTGGCATCTTTACAAAAAGTAAAAGCTTCAAATTTTTTCTTTGCGTATGGACCCTTAAAAAGCTTTCCTGAAGAACAGTAGGGCTTCTATAGCATATTTCATAATCATAATTTTAAGTATACAGATCACATAAATGATATATATATATTTATATGTTATTGAGAGAAGCTAAACAAATCCATTCCTAGAAACCTACTCAAAGAAGTAGCAATGGGACTTACCTGGCAATTCACTGGTTAAGATTCTGCACTCCCAAAGCAGGGGGCATGGGCTCAATCCCTGCTCAGGGAACTAATTAAGATCCCTCATGCCTCACTCGGTGGCCAAAATTTAAAAAAAAAAGTCAAAAGCCCACAATTATCTATACAACTTACCCTTTAATATTGTGACTACTGAGTTCACAGATGACCAAAGAAATAGAAGTGATTCTGTCATTTAAAAAAATCGCTTTGTAACTTCACAGTAATTTAAAGCTTACACAGTTCAATCCAGCTGTTACTAAGTAAGCAGTTCTATTTTACCTTTCCTGGGATGAAGCAACAGAGATTGGAGTCCACATACTTCATGAAAGTCATATTTAATAATGACAGCCTTGTTTCAACAGCAGCGAGGATGTCTGCATGCCGAGCTAATGAATGGTTTCTCCTTTCTGACTCTCTCCTACCAAAAAAAAAAAAAAAAAAAGCAACCATTAAAAGAAGTACTGTGGGCTAAAATGCTAACCAAACAAAATATCTTAATGTAACCCTAACATTTACATGTTAATTTAGAAATCTACAATTGGGTCATAATTTAACTGCAATGATAAATGAATCACTATGTTTAGAAATCCTGGCTAACAAATATTTACTGATAAAACATTTGAAAAAAATTATTTTTGTTTTGCCCTTTGGCTATATGGATTCCCTAGTGGCTCAGTTGGTAAAGAATCTGCCTGCAATGCAGGACACTCGGGTTCGATACCTGGGTTGGGAAAATTCCCTGGAGAAAGAAATGGCAACCCACTTCAGTACTCTCGCCTGGAGAATTCCATGGACAGAGAAGCTGGGTAGGCTGCAGTCCATGGGATCGCAAAGAGTTGGACACGACTGTGCAACTAACTTTTACTTTCACTTGGGTATATCAAGCTCAAGCCTAATGGCTATTAGAATCAGAGAAATTAGATAAATGAAAGAAGTATACATGGACATAAAGACAAGAGATCATATATTTTTGCACTAAGATCAGCTCATTTTAACTTTTCAAAAGTTTTGAGACATAATTCACATATAATTCAGTTTTAAGGATATTCATACTTGTGTACCCATCACTACCATCTCATTTCAGAACATTTTCATTATCATAAAAAGAAAGCCTGTAAACCATTATTAATTACTCTCATTATCCAGCCCTTGGCAACAACTAATTTACCGTTTCTATGGATTTGCCTATTCGGGACACTTCAGATAACTGGAATCATAACACTATGTGTTTTGTGTCTATCTTCTTTCACTTAGCATCTTTCCAAGGTTTATCCATGTAGAAGGATGTCTCAGTAGTTCCTTTTTATTGCTGAACATAATTCTATTATTCAGACACACCATGATTTTGATGATCCATTCATCTGTGCTGGACTCTTGGGTTGTCTCCACTTTTTGGCTATGATGAACAACGCCACTATAAATATCTGTGTACTTTGTTTAGACATAGTTTCATTTCTCCTGAGTATATACAGCAGTGAAATGCAGTATACAGCAGTATATGCATATAGGCAGTATACGCAGCAGTGAAACTGCTACATCATTTGGTAACTCTGTATTTCATTTTTTGAGAAACTGTTTTGTAAAGTGGCTACACCATTTCATTATCCCATCAGTAACATGTGAAAGTTCCAATCTGTCCATCTCCCTCCCAACATTTGTCCTTTTAAATTTTAGCCATCCATCCTGGTGGGTGTTCACTGGTATACCACAGTTATTTTGATTTGCAATGCCCTGATGACTAACCATGTTTAGCCTTTAGTACATCATCTTTGGAGAAATTTCTATCAAATTCTTTGCCCATTTTCAAATTGGAGTTATTTACCTTTTTATTGTTTATGCCTTAAAAAGAAAATTTTGGTAACACCAGGAAAACATGGGATCTTAATTCCTGGACCAGGGGTTGAACCTGTGGCCCTTGCATTGGAAGTGTGGAATCTTAATCACTGGCCACCAGGGAAGTCCCCCTTTTTATTGTTGAGTAGTTAGAGGTCCTAATATAATCTGGATACAAGTCCTGTAACAGATACATGTCTTGTCCCATTCTGTGGCTTGCCAGGAGCCGTTGTGAGAGATCCCACCCATGACGAGATCATGAAGAAAATACCTGACAGGCAAGGCCATCCAGGATCCCATCCATGACAAGGTCATGAGGAAAAAACCTGACACGCAAGGCCGTTCAGGATATAAGGAACTCTCCAGGTTGGCCTCCGCCTCTACCCCACCCTGTATCCTCCTCCCTTTTCTGTTGTTGCTCTTGTTTGCCCTGTTGCAGATTCTTGTGTTGCCTGCCGAGAGTTCTCCTGCTCCTCTTTCATTGAATAAAGACCAACTTAAAACGCTAATTAATAAATCTCCTGGACACTGGTACCCTATGAAGTGGCCAGGGATGAAGGAAATGCTTCAATTCAAACCCTTTTGCTGGCATTCTGGCTTGTTTGATAAATGTGTGCTCTCATTGCAAAAAATGCTCATGATTGTTCTAAACATCCTAAGCATAGTATGCTAACAAAAGAAACTATTAAGCATAGGTCCCTCCGCGGGGTGAGAAAAGCTCCACAAATATGATAGCCACAAATGTGCCTAATAGAAAATATTTTAGATGGAGATTAGCTGGTGACTTCTTGCAGGTAGTTAACCTTTAGACTAAGAGCCTGTTTTGTGCTATATCTGCTGTTTTTGCAATCCTTTGCATTTCTCTTCTGTAAAAATGTAATCCTATCTAGTTCCCATAGAGATGACACCAATTAGAAAGAAAATAGATTAATCATAAGAAAAACAGGGCCGGCTACTGAAGTTGCTTAAGTCACACCAGGTGCAGGCCATAAAATGTTAGCAGGCCTGAAGGCCAAATGATAAGACTCTTGTGAATGAAAAGTATGTGGATGACATCCTGTTTCTGTTGAAGGTCAAGTTGCTGTAATGTTTTGAGATGACCTGTGTGTAAGCAATATGCACTTCCCCCAAAAAGATGTTGTTGAGGGTATAAAGGGGCCGTGCAGAAACAAACTCCAGACTCAGCCCCGAGCTCTGTCTCACTGTGTCCCTCATCGGCCGACACTGTTCATCCCGAGGGCTCCCCTGGGTCCTGCTGGGGCTGGGCCCCGGCAGTGGCTGTCTTCTCATTTTCTGGATGGTGTCCTTTGAGGCACAGACATTTTAAATTTTGATAAATTCTAGTTTGTCTACTTTTTTCTTTTGTTACTTGTCCTTCTGGTGTTGTACCTAAAGAACCTAATCCAAGTTAATAAAGGTTTATGACTATGTTTTCTTCTCAAGGTTTTATAATATAGCACTGACATTTACACTTAAGCCTATGATTCATTTTCAGCTAATTTCTGTATATGGTATAAGGAATGTCTTCAACTTCATTCTTTTGTCCCAGCATCATTTGTTGAAAACACTACTCCTTCCTCATTGAATTTTCTTGGCATTCTTGTTGAAAATCAATTGACAGAAAATGTAAAGGTTCACCTTCCAGACTCTATTCCATTGATCTGTGCGTCTATTTTTATGCTAGCACCAGAGCGATTATTGTAGCTAAAGCTCTGAGACTGGAAAATGGTATTTTTCCAATTTTGTTCTTTTTCAAGATTGTTTGGATTACTCTGAGTCTTTTGCATTTCCACAGGAATTACAGGATCAGTGTGTCAATCTCTACAGAAAGACAGCTAGGATGCTGATGGGGGTTGCTCTGTGCGCTAAGTCGCGTCAGTCGTGTCCGGCTCTTTGAAACACCATGGACTGTAGCCCGCCAAGCTCCTCTGTCCATGGGATTCTCCAGGCAAGAATACTGGAGTGGGCTGCCATGCCCTCCTCCAGGGGATCTTCCCGAACCAGGGATCAACCCTGTATCTCTTACGTCTCCTGCACTGATAGCCAGGTTCTTTACCACTAGTGCCACCTGGGAAGCCCAGGGGTTTGCACTGAATAGATATGTGTCAGTTTGGGGACTACTGCCATTTTAACGGGCTTCCTAGATGACTCAGTGGGTAAAGAATTTGCCTGCAATGCAGGAGACACACGAGACAGAGATTCAATCCCTGGCCATCTTAAAATGAAATCTTCCAATCTATGATCACAGAATGCCTTTCCATTTATTTAAGTCTTTAATGTCTTTTAACAGTGCTTTCTGGTTTCTAATAAACAAGTTTTGTACTTCTTTTGTTATACATTACTATCAATGCTACTATAAATGGAACTGTCTCCATTTTTGGATTGTTTATCGCTAATGCATAGCATTATACAATTGATTTTTGTATACTCTTTTATCTAGTATCCTTGCTGAACTTGTTTTTAGCTCTGATAACTAATCAGTGTATTTTATATACAATCATGTGTATACAAGATCATGTTATCTGTGAATAGAGTTTTATTTTTTCCTTTCAATCTGGATGCCTTTAATTTTGTTTTCTTGCCTAAATGCCCTGGCTCAAACTAAAATGTTGAGTAGATATGGCAAGAGTGAAGAAACCATAGTAAAATCATTTATTGTGATCTATGTATACTTTGCTACAAAAACTTGGAAATGATTTAACATGTAAACCCTTACTTTGATTAAAAAAAATAATAATAATAATCAAGAAACAAATAAATCCCCAGTTGTAGAATTACTGCCACTGCTAACCGTAACATACCTTGGGAGTTGTGCTTTAACTTGTTTCTGACATAGATTATGGTACCTTTCCACCTTTAGAAATCCCTGATTCAACATTCTCTGGCAGACCAAGTCCATTCTTTTACAAACCTATGGGAAGACAGAATGAGAAAGAATTTTAAAAAGTAAAAACTTCAGAAAATGTCTGTGGTAACCTAAATAGAGAGGAGGTCTAAAAAGGGGATATATATGTATGTACACATAACTAATTCACTTTGCTGTGTAGCAGAAACTAATACAACATTGCTAAGCAACTCCACTCCAATAAAAATCAATAAAGGGACTTCCCTGGTAACCCAGTTAAGACTCCATCTATGCTTCCAATGTGAGGTGTGTGGGTTCAACCCTTGGTCAGGGAACTAAGATCTCAGATGCTGTATGGTGCAGCCAAAAAAGTATATAAAAATTAATTAAAAAAAAACCAAATTGATAACAATTAACTTAGACTCATTAACTGACGGTTCAAAGTTCTCTGTGCTAGAATTGTTCTCCAGTTTGCTATCTGAATCTTTGAATCAGTATATGTGAATTCCTCACTGTAACCTTCAATACTACATTTAAAAATTAATATTATATGTAAGCAAGGAATAATTTACTCTTTTTTAAAAAAAGAATATATATGTTTTCTCGTTTATTTATATATTTGACTTTTTTTTGGCTGTGTGACATGGCTTGCAAGATCTTAGTTCCCTGACCAGGGATCAGACTCATGGCTCATGCAGTGGAAGCTCAGAGTCCCACTTGACTTCTTTACTTTAGGTATCTGCTGAATATTCTGAATGTATCCCCACTATTATGGTCAAAGTCTATAGTTCCAAAGATCATTAAAACAAAATATTTGAAGGCTTTTAATGGTCTGAAACAAGAAAATTCTTCTCTGGCCAAAAATACATATTCAAACTTGAGTCTAACCTCTCACAAAGTTTTTATCATTACCAGAATGAAAGTTTTAAATTATTTCTTCTAGTGACTTGGATGAAGTAAGACAGTTTATAATGGTCAAAGCCTATACTAGATATTGTCATATCTTTCAAAATATTTTAACATGTATAGCAGAAACTTAACTTTAAAAACGGCATCTTTATACAATAAAAGCATAGGATCTGAAGTCAGAACACCTAAATTTGAGTCCAGCCATTTTATGTCCTTGGGCAAGTCAGTTTCTTTTTGAAAGCCTGAATCAGACATCTGTAAAATTTGGACAGTACCTCATACACAGGGATATCATTAGGATTAAAAGAAACAGACATTAAATCATGGTAAACTATAAATCACCATATAAAAATTGTTTAAAAAATTTTGTTAACAATTATGTTTAACTTTACCACTAATTTGAAAACTTTGCTTTATATACTTAGCTTTTGTATTTCTGAAATATACCAGTATCTTTCTTATCTTAATGAAACCTACTATACAAAATACGTTTGTTGTTTGTTTCCTGAGTATTTTGCATTGACTCAGATATATCAACCTGGACCTTAATTCTCACTGTATAGGTATGGATGTTGAAAGCACAATGCTGAGATAAAATTGAGATAAATCTACACCAAGGCTAAGTTGATTAGGCAAGGGCTGTCTTAACGCTTCTTTCTATCTCTCACAGCACCCAAACACAAATGCTTGAAAAATACTTGCTAAAACCAAATACTGATGAAATGCAAAAGTTGCTTTCTCCTGAGATTATACAAATAAAAATTCTGGTAAACTGGGCTGAGCTGATAAAGGTTCTGATACTCTAATACTAAATACCAGCCACTCCCTATATAATAGTATGCCAGATGAAAGGTATGACGATAAACAGTTCTTTTCCATTTCAAAGCAGATGAAAACATAAAAAAGTACTGATACTTTACTGATAGAGTAATTCTAATAAATCATATTTTAAAATACAGTGGAATATATTTCTAACTGAATAAGTTATAAACATTTGTTCAGTGTCTACTGAAAAATAATAATAAACCCAATACGTACTGATATAAATGTTTCTAAAACAAAACATTTAATGAGTACATTTACAAATCTCTTTAATCTAGTTTAGGTCTAGTAGTTTAATAGAAATAAGTGAATTTTCATATCTGCTTCTTTTGCATTAATCTACTGAGGTATTCTTACCTAAGAAAATTCTAGAAAACACAATATACAAGTGCACATGTCATTAGCTGTATGATGACACCATCACATGTCACAGGACTACTGGAAAACTCCACTGGACCTTTGTGAAAGAACGGGAGTAGGAAATGCAAACAATACCTTAGTACAGCAATGAAAGTATTTTAGATCATACAGACTCCCTGAGTCTTGGGAATCCTTCTGGTAAACCTGGACCGCATTTGAGAACCACAGTGCCATAAACAATAGTACTGAACTTTGTGTGAGGAAAAAAGAAACTTTTATCATGTTATTGGAGGAAAAAAAAGAAAGTATGTCTTTGTGTGTGTGATGAGGGAATATAAAGCTGACTAAATTGTCATCTGTCATAGGAGAAAGTCAGTCAGTTCAGTCACTCAGTTGTGTCCGAAAGTCAACAGATATTATCAAGTAGAAAAGAAAAAAAAAAAAAACCCACACAGAGACTTCAAAATGAACTCTGAGGAATAAAAATTGGGGATTTCTTTGTTGTTAAAACTATTTAATGTGAGGCACCCTCTAACACAACTTTGTAGAAAAATACTCTTTCGATCTGTGGACTCTATAACTCTCTGATAATTTCTGAGTTGAATAATGGAACTTAAACCCACTGTGGTAATGATTTCCTATTTTTTTTTAAGTCAAATCATTACTCTGTACATCTTAAACTTATATAGTGCTATATATATAAATAAATTTATATATATATAAATATTATATATATATAAATAATATTATATATATATATAAATGTTTATTTACAAAGTAAAAAAATTAAAGTCAGGAGGCTCAATGGTAAAGAATCCGCTTGCAATGCAGCAGGCACATAAGCAGCAGGCTCAGTCCCTAGGTTGGGAAGATTTCCTGGAGGAGGGCATGACAACCCACTCCAGCATTCCTGTTTGGAGGATCCCATGGACAGAGGAGCCTGGAAGGCTACAGTCCAGAGTGCTGCACAGAGTAGGACATGACTGAAGTGCCTTAGCACACAGCACACTGCTGTAATAACCTCCAGGGTACTTTCTAAATTATTTCATTATTCTAGGATATTGCTGCACTAAATCTAGCTAAATACTCAATTTAGAAATCTTTTAATAATCTAGAAATGCAATGGAATGAGTACTGATTAGTATGAGTATACACTCGACTGAGTAATTTGCTATAAATAAATAACCAGTAAGGTCAACCAAGGAAGACTTAACGTGATCCTAGGCTTTAAAAGAAGAAAGGACAGGAATGCTAAGTTAATGCTGATGGAACAAAGGCACAAAGCCTGGAATGAATAAACCATTAGCAAACTACTTCTGAAGACAGATCAGGTATGTAAGCAAAGCTGAGAGGAATAAAATCTCCCATGTTTTGATCAGGAAAATCAGACAGTAATGAGAAATAAATTTAAAAGGAAAAAGAGCATCCATTTTGGGAGAGACCTGGTATTGGGACAGCTGACTGGTCATTTTCCGTAGGCAACTATAATGTTACAACTAAAGATAAGGTTCTGGAAATCTCACACAAAGATAGCTGAAACCACTGCAGAAGAATCCCAAATAAAGAGGTAAAAGACAAGAAAAAAGACTTATAAATGAGTCTTAACTGACCATTTTAATTAAAAGCTGGTAAAAAGATCAGAAAACATACATCTGAAACAAATATTGTAAATCAACTATACTTCAACTAAAAAAAATTAGAAAATAGGAGGTAACAAAAGCAAACTAGAATAGCACCACAAAACCCAAAAAGATCTGAAACATTAGTTGATATTATAGGAAAAGAACAGTATTTAATGTAATATTCTTCCTTTCATAAATGTTTTATAAGCACTGACTGACCAACAGCATAAAAACAAAGACACCATAGAGCATATAACTATCTTTCGTTTAGGATTCAGAAGGAAGCAAAGTGACCTCTGAAAAAAACAGAAATATATTAATTTTCCCCAAGGTGAGCAGCATAATTATAACTGCTGCCAATGCATATTAACTTGCAAAACAAAATTACCTTATTTCAAGTGTAGCTCTAAATTTGGGGTTACTTTAATTATTTCCCAAGGCCACAGAAAAGAAATATCATTTCCCCAGTTATTAAAACAAAACAAAAATCCTAGCAGTTTGGCAATTTACTCAGGACAGAAAAATTCTAGAATCTAATAAACAAAGATGATGACTATCTCAAAAAAAGATCAATGTATTTAGAGATTAGGAAAATACATACTATATAAACAAAAAGTAACTAATGGAATAAGTATACAACAGAGATATTTAACTTACCCCTCTTTTATTTCCTGTTCTAGTATGAAGAACAGATTTGTTTTCTTTGTTAATTATTTCAAGATTTAAAATGCCATGTTTATTCTTTTTACCATTTTTTAACAAGTGATCAAAAATAAAAGTTTTTCTTCACTTGTGTTTATTTAAAAATCTTTTTCAATCTGTTGTGCCACTATGGCTCTTCTTAAAAAGGCAAGACACACACCTTAAATCCATGAAATCCACAATTTTCTTGTTAAACCTAATCTCTAATATAAAATCTTGGTTGACTCTAAGATGTACATTTTCCATCTTTTAACATGAGACAGTGGAATGATCTTACAATATATATTATAACTGCCAAGCATTTCTTTCTCAGTATCTTAAATGCCTTAAAATACACTGGGTTTCTTCAATTTTAAGATGCTGTGGCGACTTTAAGATATGTTTTCAATTTAATAAAAAAAATTTTTTTAAGTATCACTATAATAATATAATTTGATCAAGATGCACTATCATTTCAAAAATGTTAAAATATGAAACTATATCTTAGAATCAAGGAAATATTGTAGTGGAATCACATTTTTAATGTACTCAATTCGTTCTCTACAGTTCTCAAATGAACTGAATAGTCAATGCATGTGTGCTAAGTCGCTTCAGTCATGTCCGACTCTTTGTGACCCCATGGACTGTAGCTCGCCAGGCTCCTCTATCCAT